TTCTCAAAGGAGGAGGAGAAAACTGGAGCTTCAGGCTTGCAGTAAACTGGCTTTCTCCATGTAGGTGTGAAGTGGCCTATAGATCTGATCAACCGTCCATTCCATCCTTCTTTTACACCCAAACTGTTTCATCTCTGGGACCTGCTTTTATGGCCACTGACTGATACAAACTATACCCATATTTCTTTCATCAAGCCCAGAGCCAACACTTCTATGATAAAACCAATTTTTATTTATTTATTTATTTTTTTACTTATTTTTGGGACAGAGAGAGACAGAGCATGAACGGGGGAGGGGCAGAGAGAGAGGGAGACACAGAATCAGAAACAGGCTCCAGGCTCTGAGCCATCAGCCCGGAGCCCGATGCGGGGCTCGAACTCACGGACCGCGAGATGGTGACCTGGCTGAAGTCGGACGCTTAACCGACTGCGCCACCCAGGCGCCCCTGATAAAACCAATTTTTAAACAATCAAGTGTTGTATGATTAGAGTCTGGGAACATTTGTGGACTTTTACTTAATTTTTCTTTTTACAATAAATTGCGTAACCTGCAAGTATAATGCAGAACCACTGTAGCCCTCGGCCTACTCACCACTGCTCTGCTGGGTGGAGTACAGAGTTCCCCAAAGTGACACATGAGTGTCATGCTCCTACTTCTGATGTCAGACGTGAAAAGGAAAAAGGCAGGACTGCTGTATTTAGTCTGCTTCTGCAGAAGACACAGGAGACCTGACCGCTCTTCAGGACTCCCCACATTATGCAGGAGAAGGGAGTGGCCTGGCCAGGTTACTGTGAAATAGGCTCTGGATGTGGGTAAATCCCTCGCTGGGGCTAAAGGATGAGAAAAAGGAGAGCGGTGCTCTCTGCCGGGCAGTGGACCCCAGAGCCTGGGAACTAAAAACTCAATTTCATGGGTATACACCAGTTAGGGGTGATGGAGGATGAGCTGTCTCAGTAATTCCTTATCAAGAACTCTTCACCAGGGCCAAGATTCTCCAGCAAGACCAGCCACATGGCAACTCTAAGCCCCAATAAAAGTTAGCACAACCCAAGGGAACCTGTAAGGAAACCGAGATCCGTCCATACAGCTCTGTAGCTGAAAGGGATACAAATCCAAAATAGGCAGTGAACTACTTCCACACCTTCCAGCACCTCCGCCTATTCCTAACCACTGTACCCAACACTTTCTTCTCATCAAACAAATAGATGGTAAGTAATTCTGCACTTATATTTGAAGTGCCTGTGAACAGGAGACAGAAATATCAAGTGGGCAGTTGGATACAGGAGTGTGGAGCTTCGGACAAGTCTAAGTCAGAGATACATATTTACTAGTTATTAGAATATGTAAGTGAAAGGGGGGCAGATGAGACTTGTCAAAGTCGACAACCTATGTGGGAGGGGAGG